CGCCAGTCAGCCAAGGATGTTCAAGAGCTTGTGCTGCTTCGGGTCGATCACCTGGCATGTATTTCATGAGGTCGTCAATGAATGACTTCAGCTCATTGGACAACCGAAGGTAACCCCCGAATTCCTTGTTTACACCTCTCATCACCAGGGAGCCTTGCGTGGCCACATTGGCCAGAGTGAAGTCACCGTAGGGTCGGCGCTGTACGGCTACTCTGTACAGCATGCCACCGACGAAGAACACATCGGTCTTGCTGTCGATCCCGCCGAATTCCTTCAAGTTGAGCTCTGGTGGATGAGCATACATCTTGGTACGGATGACGTCGGCTTTTCCCCCTATCAACTCCTCTGCCAGCCCGAAATCTATTAGTTTGACCCCTCCATCCGGTTTAACCATCACGTTGTTTTCCTGTAGATCTCTGTACGAGAAAAGAACCATAAAACCAAATCATAAAATTCCACTTGCTGCTAATCAAAGTAGAGATAAATCATCATTCTAATGAGAATCAGTACGAATTTTTGTGGAGACTTGTGCTAATAATTTCAATCACATCTTCCTTACTCCGATAGGCTCGCACTTTCAACTAAATATTCCTCGAAACGGGTAATATAAACTTACCCATGAACAACGTTGGCTGTCTTTAGATAATGGACAGCCTCCAATACCTGGCGGGTCACACTGGTGAGCGTGGCTTCCTCCACAAACGTTCCAGCGTCAATGGCATTGTGTGTTAATTTGGTGAGTGTGATACCTTGTACTCGCTCGAAGAAGAATACGGGCCAGAGCCGGGTCTGCAAGACACCGAAGCATGCCACGATATTGGGGTGGTGTAGCATCAAGCAGATTCTGGCCTCGCGGCACACCTGATCCCTGTACCCCTGGCCTTTCTGTGGGTAGAAGAATATGGTCTTGGCTACCATCTGTCACACATATCAAGATAAGAAACACAAACGGTTATTTAAAAATAGGATAATAACAGAGGAGTTGGTTTGAGTTTTTTCGCTCTCCAATTGTGCAAAAATCTCCCTGACACACATATCAATCTCTACATCGACGAGTAGATGTGCGTATGACTTACAGCTCCTGCTGTTGGCATTGCAACAGTGCGTACTTCTCCGTACTGTCCCACACCTAGTTTCTCCCCACTGAAAGACACCTGACGAGCCAAAACCTCACTGTCCTCGTCAAAATCTACGATACTACCAAACTGACGCCTGGGAAGAGGATGCGGCCACTCACGATTCATTGTGACAGATGGTTTGAAAAACGGTCTCACAAATTCACGTTTGATTTGTTGAGGAAGGTTTCCGACACTTGTGCGTTAACCAACATCAACAACTGAAAAACAATTGGGCCGCCAGAGATCCACCTTTATACCTCTCGGCTCTATACATCAGTAGACACATAGTACGAACAAGTAATATCCGAATACCCAGACCTGCCGGTACACATGACGAGAACTATAATAATTATTATGATACACAACGTACATTGTTGATACTCAATTCCCCTTGTCCTTTCCTGTCGCTTGCTGATGGTAAACCATCGTAGTAACCAGGTAACTGTTTCGGCAATCTCCCATAGGCTTAGTATTTCATTGCCGCTGTAAATGCGGTAATCAACTATAGCCTTCTCAGTGTGCTATTGATGTTGTCGACCTCATCTGTGATTTCTTTGCTGATCAATATCCTACTATCCTACGGCCACATCTGCGGATTTCAGCTCCACATGACGTTATTGGCATGTCCTCCACGCATCCTACTGTGTTTATAGTGTTAGACCACACTCACCCTGCTTGACGTTATGTCCCAAAATTTATAATGACATTGTCAATCACTGCCTTATTGTTTATATTTCCTGCATTATTCTTGCATTACCTTGATAAAACGGGAGACGCACGCGTGTAAAAAGGCAAATTTCAGACGGTCGTCTCTATTCATAATGTAGGTGAACTTGTACACTCTCCACGCACATGAACAATTAAAATCGGGCAACCTCATGACACCTGAACCTTTCGACGTGTCTTCAATTAACTTTACGTCCGCTCACGCATGGTATGTGGTACCAAGAGTAGATGTTTATCTACTCTCGGTAATACTTTGTTTCTGGTGTATAAGCCCCATAAGTCGCACCTTCTGTTTTTGTCCCGAAATATTGGCATTTACCTTGTTTTCGCTGTATCCGCCGCGCCCGTAAGTTAATTTTTTTAACCTACATGTATTATGTGTGTGTGCGCGTGGTGCCACGCGTGCATTAAGACCATCTCTAGACTTTGGATTGATGTGAGGCTTTGACAAGGGCCGGTCGAATAAGTAGAAGATACCCATAGCCGTGCTTTTTATGGCATCTGGTAGCCATCATCATCGTACAGTAACTGTCAACTTTGCATTCATTGTCATTGCCATTGTATTATTTGTTTTTACTTCATAAAGTCAAACGGGATCATACCATTATCTTCGCGTTCATCACCCCCATCGTATGCGACATTGTCCAGCCAGCTGGTGCGTCTTCAGCAGCGTCATTGGCCTTCTCTGCTTTATTATCACGGTCTTCGAAGATGAGGTCATCGTCAATGCTTGCCATCCAGCGCATTCGAGATGCAACCTTCCTTAAATGACATGACATGCACCATGGGATCTGGAATGTCATTCCATGCATGGTGATACCAGGCTTCTTCATTTTCCCACCTCTTGTGAACTCATGGCTGTCATCATTCACCATTCACGCACACCCTTTTTCTGGCTGAACTTGCTCTTGAATGGCTTGTTCAGGCATGCATCCAGTGGTTGATAAATATGGTGGTAAAGACACACCTGGCAATATGGCGGTAAACACACGCCTGCCCACACACGCTCTCTAGGCTGCAAAGTTCTGGCACAGAGCTCTCCTTCTCACCACCACCACCATCATTTCGCGCCAAATAATGGTGGTGGTGGTGAGAAGGAGAGCTCTGTGCCAGAACTTTGCAGCCTAGAGAGCGTGTGTGGGCAGGCGTGTGTTTACCGCCATATTGCCAGGTGTGTCTTTACCACCATATTTATCAACCATAAGTACAGCTGCAGTGGTGTCTTCAACTTCATTCTCCCGAGTCAAGCTCCGTATGAAGACATCCAAGAAGAAGATTGCCTGATGAGTCCAGCGGGGACGAAACGTACGTCGCAATCGAGCTATGTCGTTGCTGCGTCATCATCTATGCGCCATGCGCTACTTGATGTACCAGCCTGCTATGCCGGATACCGCCAGCCAAGCATCGACCAGGCGCCAGGCGCGAAATGATGGTGGTGGTGGTGAGAAGGAGAGCTCTGTGCCAGAACTTTGCAGCCTAGAGAGCGTGTGTGGGCAGGCGTGTGTTTACCGCCATATTGCCAGGTGTGTCTTTACCACCATATTTATCAACCATAAGTACAGCTGCAGTGGTGTCTTCAACTTCATTCTCATGCATCCAGTGGTTAAAGATGACACACAGTCTGACACTCATTTCTGTGACTTTGCTCTTGACACCTAACACAAGGAGTGCACGGAACGAGTCGAACACAAGCACGTGCTTCGAATTTATTCTGCCACCAGCTCTCCCACCCTATACTTTCTGCAGCTTAAAAAAATAATATTAAAATAAATAAAGAATACTTTCTGCAGCCAAAGAATCATGCCCTCCACAACCAACCAACCATCATGTCGCGTGAACGTGCACAAGAATATCCGCCGGGATCGTTCCCTTTGCCATTCACTTCCGCATGAAGAGTATCATTGGTGGGAGCATCGTTCCATCAGCTGTGTAGGGCAACACGACCATGTAGTAGTCCTTCTCGAGACCCGTTCTTTTGATGTGAATGGACCTTTCACCCAGAGCACAGGCAGACAAGGATTTTGAGACATTCGACGACCTGACACCTAGCTTCGACACATCTACGAAGCGCAAACCAACAACCATCCAACATGGAAGGCTCAGGTGCGGAACGTAGGGATTTGTAGATGTGCTGGAGCTAGGTGTCAGGTCATCAAATGTCTCAATATCTTTGCCAGTTCTGGGCCTTGTCGTACTATCTGACTGTATGTTATCTCGTTACCTTGGTGGACTCTTGGTCATAACTAGTAACTTCCTTTTCTCTTTACAAAATATTTCTATTGGCTCAACATCCGAGTTTTTGGAAGAATGTGGTGCTCCCTATATGGGAGCTCGCGGTTTTCCTGCCGATTTCAATTCTCAATGACTGACTCGCGACTGCCACCCAGAGCACACGAGAAGTCCATTTACAAAGTATTTCGGGGAATTCACCCCTCATCAGTCGAGCTTGAGTAGGCTGAGTAAGATTGTGCCTGAAGAGCACCACTTATATAGTGCTCTCCAGGCACAAACATCACCAGGCATACAAACTTACAGAGACGTTCCATTTCCAGCGCAACAAACCCGCGAGCTCCCATGTAGGGAGCAACACACTCGTCACCTATAATCTCGAATTCGCACCAACCTCTTCTTCACATCCGAGTTTTTGTTATTACTATCTCTTTTTTTTTAATACTATTACTACATGTATTACGCCTACTCAAGTTTAACTGATGAGGGGTGAATTCCCCGAAACACTGTGTATTGAGCAGGGAGTGGTGCTTTCTTGCAGGTTTGCCGAGTCGAAGGTTCGATGGACTTCTCGTGTTCTCTGGATGGCAGTCGTGAGTCAGTCAAGTGTCAAGTCGCCGGCTGAATAGCGCGAGCTCCAGCCGAAGTCGCAACCTCTATTTCATACTATTACTCTTATAAATATTATCTATATGTAACTTTGAACCTGATCAGAATTACAGGATCTCGAACCTGCGAGGGATACCGGATGCCGGAACTCTACCAGTAATATTTCAAAAGTCTGGAGTTGATCGCACTCTATACTTACGTTACATGCGGGGATGTTGACGTTACTTGAGTAACGTCTGGCGTTAGCCAGAGTCCACACGGATCTTTTTAATTTCTTCGTGTCACGCAAAATTTTGATTATTTTCTTTTCGTCATTTTTGGAGAGCAGCATTGAGAAACGTAAGAAATAATGTTAGGAAATAGAGGATGCGGAAGATAATACAAATACAACGGGGCTTTGACACGGCGTCGCAGGACCCAAAGCGCCACGCATTCATGAACACCCGTCCATACTTCATGTATGATATGTTTTCGTCTTACCAAAGCGCTTCTACGCGTCACTTGAACACACGCCATCGTCCAACACCGTCTGCATGTCCGTCTACGTACGCCGCACAAACCTCGTGCTCAGTTACAGAAGTCATTTAATGTAAAAATCCTAATGTATGTGCTGGTCTGGGCGGGGGAGTGGGCGGTTGACTTGGTAGAGAGGGTCTCGACAGCTGAGATACTGTTGATTGTCTGGGGGTCTTTGAAGGAAGTGGCAACATCATGCTGCGCATCCTCGCTCTGTATGGAATCGTGTACCAGCAGTTCTTCTTGCTATGGGGAGGACAAAAAAGGAAAGGAAATATTGAAACATGATCATTCAAGTGAACGGAGACAAGAATTTGATGATATTGAGAACAAAACCTACTTGAGGTGCAATTTAGAGCATCTTGAACGATTTCAGTTTCATTAGTAAACATTACCATTCTTCTGTTTTGAAGTTGATTGTTCCAACTAGGTTAAGTTCGTATTTTTCTGTTTGCTTTTTTAAACCATTTTGAGATTTATTTTGTTCTACTGTATTTTTCTTTACGCTTAAGCTCTGCACGTCCTGTAGATATCACTCAAGGTTAGTTTGTGATAATTGGATTATGCAATGATCAAGCCCTATTTTTCGCTACTCGATTTCCTCTGAAAGCTCGAACTACAGGATTTGGAAAAATAGTTTTTAGTCTTCTTGAAGCAAAACAGGGCAAAGCAGAACCTACGAGTAGTTTATTAATTGCGATTTAATAACATCACTTGAGCTGTCATTTGTTTTGACTGTCTTCGGTGGGTGCCCTTGCTCGAAGGGATGGAACAAAACCTCAGAGCAATACATTGATGTATTAGCAACTACGATTACTACAAATAACTACAACATATACTGGTAGTTGATTTGTTTAACTTACGAAAGAATCTTGTACCCAAGGCAGGCGCTGTTCGTATGCAATTGGCTTGCAACGTCACGGAGCACAGCATGGTCCAGTTTGCACATGCACGTAGGATACGCCTTCGGATACAGCATCTTGCGCGTGTCCGCCACTTTGTGAGTGCAGAGTGTGGGAGGTTCGTACTGCGGCGCCTCGGTAATCCAGGGGTGTTCCAGCGCGGCTGCTGCATGGGGACGGTCAGTGGGACAATATTTCAATAGGGACCTGATGAAGCTCTGCAACGAGGGCGAAAGTCTCTGGTAGCTTTCCTGGTTGAGAAACGGTTTCTGGGCCACTTTTTCGATTGCTTGTTGTGAAGTCATATTGTTTATGAAGCCGTATGGGCCAACTCCAGTGGCAGTGCGATAGACCATAGAACCCCTGGACAAGCATACACATAGGAAATATGGATATCAGGCTCAGAGGTACGGAAACAGTGCATTCCCTGCACGAACACTCTTCAATGCATGTATTCTTGAACGTGATAAAACGATCACAACGATAACAATTTCAGGCTTAACAATATCTTCTTTGGTTTTTCCACACTTCCCCGTTGGGATATGCTTTTTAATGTGTACGGAAGTAACGTTATAATTATGTGGTGCATTATTTTTATCATTGTTGCTTAGCTTTTAGTCCTTTCCTTGTTCTATATAACCCCTCTGATTTACTTTCCTTGTTTTTGGCACTTCCCTTTGCATAACACCCGCAGTTTACTTGTGAACACTTTCAGAAGGTTGTAGAATAAGCGGAACGGAGTGTCCTCCTACTAAGGGTCGTCCGGGGTTACCGATTGTGTTTACAAAACGAAAAGGTTTAGTATTTTTCAGCCCCCACCAACCCACCCACCTTTTCTGCAGGTAAAACGAATTTCAATAAAATATTTTTGTCAATATTCGACATCCAGAAGTAACTGGGCATTCTCCATCAGCATTCAATAATTATTTTCAAAACGAAACTCCATCAATCCCACCCACCCACAAACGAAAACATTTCGTTTTGAAAATATTATTGGTAACCTTGGACGGCCCCTAAGCGTTACTGCACAATCTGAGAGCATACAAACTTATCGCTGATAGGCTTACAGAAAGAAGATGTCTAGCTTATGATCGTAGCCACCCATGTCAGCTACAGCCAGCTCCGGCGGATGACAGTACGGCCTTCGCACTAGCTTCTTGCACTTGCTCCTGGTCACGTCCTCTGACATACCAAAGTCACACAACTTGGTTCTCCCGGTTCTACGACCCACAAGGACGTTGTTTGCCTTCAGATCACTGCACAGAGAGGACACATTCGCACGTAGTACAATACATTCGCACCTAGTAAAGGCCTCGTTTTCGGACAGCGCAAACACAATCGATTTAAAAATCCATAATGGCGAAGAAATCAGGATTTACGACATATGCAAGAATTACGATAAATTCGCACGTACTGTGCCAGGTTCAACATAGCCCACTACAGGATCATTCCAGCAAAGATTACCTCTGGTTAATTAAAACGTGAACATGAACGCAACAGACATGCAGCGTCTTACCCGTGCACAATCTTTGCCGTCTGCAGATAGTGCAGAGCCTCCAGGACCTGCATGATGATCGGCTGCAGTCTCACCTCCGGGATACCCGGCTGTTGCAGTCGCATTGTGTCACAGAGCAGCAGCCACAAATTTCTACCGTGCATCAGCTCGTAGAAAATCATGGGAATTCCGGGCGCCTGCAGTCCACCATAGCAGGTCACTATATTCTTGTGTAACAGGTCCATGCCAACGGACAGCTCCCAAAGTACCTGCTGATCATAGTCCACTATGCTGGCATCGTACCCGACCACCTTGACAATCACCTACACAAACACATTCATTTACGTACATGTACACAAGAGGAAAACTTTCGTCTGCCAGCGGAAAGGGCTCAACACAATAATGTGGAGCACTACTACACACAAACGGTACAATGGAGTTTTTACAGATTTGTCGCAACTCAGAGTTTCTTGCTCAATCCAATCATCAGGCAACTATTACATATTCAGTGGGACTTGGCCGATCTAAAGCATAGTTTTGTGATAGCTGGTTGGTATCTGATTCAGAACAGAAAATATTGCCACGATGGTTTATGAACATGTATATGTGCACACACACATGCCCATACACACACACAGAAACACAACAACAACAACAACAACAACAACAACAACAACAACAACAACAACAACAACAACAACAACAACAACAACAACAACAACAACAACAACAACAACAACAACAACAACAACAACAACAACAACAACAACAACAACAACAACACCAACACCAACACCAACAACAACAACAACAACAACAACAACAACAACAACAACAACAACAACAACAACAACAACAACAACAACAACAACAACAACAACAACAACAACAACAACAACAACAACAACAACAACAACAACAACAACAACAACAACAACAACAACACCAACAACAACAACAACAACAACAACAACAACAACAACAACAACAACAACAACAACAACAACAACAACAACAACAACAACAACAACAACAACAACAACAACAACAACAACAACAACAACAACAACAACAACAACAACAACAACAACAACAACAACAACAACAACAACAACAACAACAACAACAACAACAACAACAACAACAACAACAACAACAACAACAACAACAACAACAACAACAACAACAACAACAACAACAACAACAACAACAACAACAACAACAACAACAACAACAACAACAACAACAACAACAACAACAACGCAGACGCACACACAGAAGTGCACGCACACTTAAACCCAGACGCACACTGGCATACACACACACGCAACCACACCGCAAGACTAAAAGCGAGATCACCAAGCTTATGATTTTGCTGCTGAATACACTTAAGCTTGCAACACCTTCCTACACAATCATTTGAACACTGCTGTTTTCAAATCAGATGCCATCTCAAGAGATCATTCCAGTGTGTTATTGCGTGAACCCTCTATTTGAATTTCTCAGAAGTGAACCTTTTCCACCATTAGTTGGGATCCGCTCGTCGCGTGCATGTTTCTACCTACAGTCTGTCCACAATACGAATGCAGTGTCTCATCTCATGAGAACTGATAGTCATTCACTTTGTTTGCCCTGGGCCAAGTCATCTTTTTTGATACTTTAATAAAGAACGAAGAGCCCTCTATTGTGCATCCACCTCAATTTTGGCTGTGTTGTTCACATTTCCCACTTGTGAAATATATGAAAAAGTCACACTGCATTCTTTTTGTGGACAGACTGTAGTAGCGCAAAAGACATCGATACCCACTGCATCTTGTTGTGTTGTATAATTCTTCTATGTTCCATGGCTTACCCGACTTTGGATCCCCGGCACCTTTGCAGTATACACTGCGCCATAACTACCCTGCTCGAGCGGAATATCCTTGTCGATGTCGATCTTATGTGCGAGTTGTCCCTTATCGGCATCGTAGTCCAGCACCGGGCCGAAGTAGTCAGTTGGAAAAGCTGATGGCCAACTGGGCTCCATTTCGCTGATGAAGCCAGAAACGATAAAGGTGAAGGGCGCCAACGTTGATATGGCAGAATTTTTAGATACGTTGGCCACCTGTAGCTGCTTCCGTCAAAATTCTATAAAATTATCGCCTTTGTTTCATATCGGGTGAAATTCACATGCTGCTGTAGTGGCTGTGAAAAAGATGGAGTATCGATTGAGTATGATGTACATGTTACACCGTAGATGGTCAAATCCGGAATTCGTTTAGTATTCACTGCATATCACAGTGTGTACGTGACGCTCACACGCCTGACTATCAGAACTGTGCAGCCCTGTGGTCCTACCAAGCTTTCAACAAAATTGTAAAAGTACGTGTACTGCCAACACCATTCCAACAGATGCCCAATGCTCCGTAGGCGGCTCTAGTGCTGCTGCATTATTAGTGCCGAGTTCCACTCCGTTTAGCTTCTCACCTTTTCTTTTCGCTGCCATGTGGCTTGAAGCGCTTTCTGAACCAAGGTCCCAATTGGAGAACGCCCTTAGTCTTGTTAAATGTATTTCCTTCTACAAAATCCACATATCTCCATACCCTGAATTGAATGACGGAGTATGGTTGTGGGGTCTATTCAGCTCAGCCGACCAGAGGTGTCGGCTTCATAGCTCGATGGACGAACCCAGGGGGAGATCGGGTAGGGAGAATTAAAAGTTGGGAAAGAAAACAGAAGAAAGAAAAATGAAAATACTGTATTGCTCAGTGATTTAAAGACTAAGTTTTTAGGAAATTAGAGGCCACATGCCACCTACTGCTCTTTTCTCTCCGAAACTCAACACTTGCAAGCCAGATATGAAAGAAAGAAAAAATCATCAGTCACACCACCGGGACTCGAACCAGGGACCTTGCTATTCGCGAGAAATGCTCTAACCAACTGAGCTACAGTATGACTCTTATCCACATTGATGGTAAATCTATCCTTCTTCGATCAATTCATATCTGGCTTGCATCATGCTGGCAACTCACACCAATGAAGAGGGCCCTCGGCCATTCGCTTGATATCATGGTTCGAGTCCCGGTGGTGTGACTGATGATTTTTTCTTTCTTTCATATCTGGCTTGCAAGTGTTGAGTTTCGGAGAGAAAAGAGCAGTAGGTGGCATGTGGCCTCTAATTTCCTAAAAACTTTGAAATTCTCCGTGAAGTCCAAATTTGAAATTGCAATTTAAAGACTAAGTTGAGTATTGTCGTGAGTGGTATCTCGCTTGCTGTCAACAACTTAGTTAGACGCCATATGGTAATCATTCAATTCAATTCTCTAGTACGATTCGGTATAAGAAGTAAATCTGAATCTCTGAATTCTCTACCAGGGCTCTTCAGAAACGGTTGATGTCACTACTAAAAATTAGGGCTGGATTGATCACCTTCAGCTCAGCGTTGCATATTGTGTTGACATTTGGTTTCCTTTCCGAAAGAGCATTCGTTTCCAGGATGGAAAACAGTGAACAACTGTGCATTAATCCTACTCGTAAAGCTGTCTCGAATTGTGATTAGCAACCTTTTTTTATCCGAGCATATTATGCATTTTTGCACTAGGGCACTATTTCCATGAACGACTTGATCCTTTCGATCTACTGACACTGGATAATTCGCTTGAAGCATCCAATAACACCTAAACCCCTCCAAGACTTTCATTTATTGGAAAAGGAACACGTATTATGATTTCGCCGCTTTGCGGAAATTCCAGTCTGGATTTCAAGCCAGAAAAACAAGAGCCCTCCAATGGCGCGTTGCCGCGCCTTCATTCTCGTCAAAATCGCAGAATTTCTCTTTGGAAAATTTATTATAAAGGAATAAAGTGGTGCAGCGTCCAAAGTGGACTTTCCATGTTGTAGAAAATAGAGATCAGGAAATGACGCAACATTTCCGGCTGGAACCTTTCCCGGCAGTGGTAGGGGTTGTTTCGGCGGCAGAATCAGACTTTTCTAGGGACGATCCCTTGCCCTCGTCAACGCTCTTGCTGGTTGCTGATCGTCCTGTGCGTTCTGATGGCAGGGTTTGCGTAGTGTTTGCCGGAGTCTTTGGAGCTAGAACCTCCATCTCGTGCACAGTAGCTCGGTAGGCGATACTCTGCCAGCTGTTATTGTCCCTGCGAGGTATAAGAGAAACGAAAAAGACATTAAGTTTATGATTGTTATACTCGCACTCGGATGTTAAGCCAAATATAAAAGAAAAAAGTGTTACTAGTTATGACCAACTATCTGGCTTCCTTCCCCTCTTGGACCTTTCCTAACCAGAGCGTTCCCAGTTGAAAAGTTATTGAGTGTGTGTTGGCGCTTGGTGTCAGCTCTTCGGATGTCTCAGTACTAAGTCTTCTTGTCAGTTGTGTGCCTTTAAGTCGCACTCGTTGACTGTATAATTATCGAGTTCGTTGATGTCCAGTCAGCCTTAATATGTAACTTAAGAAAAAAGGCAAGTGTCAAGTTAAGTCGGTGGAATAGCGCGAGCTCCAGTGTGGGGAGAAAACCCTTTCTTACAAATCTTCGCCGAAGTCGCAACCACTACTTCGTACTGCTAAGAAAAAAAGGACCAAGAAAGGAACATTTAAGAAAAAAGAACCAAGAAAGTAGCACCACCAGGTACTGAACAATCAGCTCGTGCGATAACAGTGCACGACACGACATTATAGCGCAACTTGCTCGTTTCTTGGTCCTTTTTCCTTCACTATAAATTTATCCTTGGCTCTCCATTGGAGTCCACGTAACTTAGTCCTTTCTTTTTATCCATTTTTATAATCGCAATCCTACTGCCTGTAATTCTGGTGAAGTGAAATAAACTAATAACAACAACAATCAAACAATACGTTTCTCCGTGTTGAATCTGTTGATTGACACCACTTTGAACCATCTTTTCTAATGCGGAAACCTTTCTTCTTTAATATTAAGCAGCATGCGCAACATTAATTAAATCATTAAAACCCTTTACTGTACGTACATACAAGCATTGAACCAATGCAATTGAATGGGATCGATGAGGTAGAACTTTTTCTCCTTCTAGGAGCTGCATCTGCGCCTTGATCCAAGAGGGTGGTGGCGTTCCTGCGGACGCGGAAAACTGGGCCTTTGGCCGAGTCTCACGCGAACCGTGAAAACAAAATTTTTCTCCTTCAAACCAGTGAAACTTCTTTTTTTCTTTTCTTTTTCAAGAGAGAAAAATATGTCGGTCTCTTTCAATGTACATGTACATGGAACCACTTCCCGTGAAAATAGTTCTTTGAGCACATCTAGAATCTGATTTAATCACTTACTTCAAGATTGTGGGCACTAGCTCATCTTTCAAAACCGCTAGATTCACAGCTAGCCTGGTGAGCGCCTTCGCGTTGAGATCCTCAGCAGTCTGTGGGATCACCGGCGGCTCATAGCTAATCAGTTCAGGTTGCTGATGTTCGCGCGCACGGGTGAACCAGGACACCTGAAGAGCCTGGGCTGCTGTTGGCCGCTCGTCTGGGTGGTACGCCACCATTACGTCAATGAGGCGGCGAACATGACGTGACAGGGTCTTGTACCGCTCGTCAGTCTTGTTGACTCCCTCTGCAATCTTCTGCACTCTCTCGCCGGAGGTCAAGTTTTGGAAGTCTCCAAAGGGATGAATGTAGCAGAGAAGGAAGTAGAGTAATGATCCACTGTTGCATGTACCAATCAAACAAATTGCAGTACGCACACAAAAGGTACAGTATCCAAAACAACGCGACGTTAGATGAGACAGTACAAACAGTATTGTCGGACCATTAAAACTTTTATCGGACGTACACTGGCGGCCAATGGCATTCACCATTGTAGCATGGTCTAACACGAAGTGCTGGCAAGCAGAATCTGCTCGTGCAGGTACCTATAGGTGAACAGGCACATCGGTCAAGATATCCTTTCCACACAATCGTACATATACTTGTCGATTGCTTTACAATAACTCATCAATGAGTTCTTCATACGACGATTGGGTGCGGTCTCGAGTAAATTACCTTACTTTCATGACATCAATCGCTCATGGTCTATTTTAATTGTATTATAAAACTCACCATCGCAGGCAAAAGAAATGCAGATAAATTATTATGTAACCAAGAGTATTATTTTAGTCGTGAGTCAGTCAAGTGTCAAGTTCGGCAAGAAGCGTGTGTTCCTAGTTGGAACAATCAACTTCAGGAGTAAATTTTAGTTGTATGGATATTGAGCAGTAAATAATGTGCGTTCGCCGTGCAATGTTCAATGTAGTGATCAAGCTTGATATGTAAAGAACTTAGTCCCGTCTAATACTATTCTTCCACTATACACACTTACGCGAAGAAAATGTCGGCTTTGTTGTCGTAGCCGCCCATTCCGGCAAGTTCCACCTCCGGCGGGTGCGTATACATCTGGGGCTGCAGTTTCATTGACTTGCCTTCTGCGATATCCTGTGCCACGCCAAAGTCGATGAGTTTGACTACTCCATCTCGTCTTACCATGACGTTGTCATACTTCAGGTCGCTGCAAACGGAGACGAGAATGGAAGATGAATGTCATGACACCCACGCCCCACTAACGTTACAACGTCATGTTTTGATCAGATTTATCTCTTGGTCAGATCAGATTTATCTCTTGGTCAGATCAGATTTATCTCTTGGTCAGATCAGATTTATCTCTTGGTCAGATCAGATTTATCTCTTGGTCAGATCAGATTTATCTCTTGGTCAGATCAGATTTATCTCTTGGTCAGATCAGATTTATCTCTTGGTCAGATCAGATTTATCTCTTGGTCAGATCAGATTTATCTCTTGGTCAGATCAGATTTATCTCTTGGTCAGATCAGATTTATCTCTTGGTCAGATCAGATTTATCTCTTGGTCAGATCAGATTTATCTCTTGGTCAGATCAGATTTATCTCTTGGTCAGATCAGATTTATCTCTTGGTCAGATCAGATTTATCTCTTGGTCAGATCAGATTTATCTCTTGGTCAGATAGCGAACTTTAAACTTCGAAACATAATACCTCAGCCACTTAATACTACTATGAATGGATGGACCACACTTCAGATGGCATCACCGCCTTAGTGCAGGTATTGCCAAAATTGAACCAACGCCCCGCTAACGTTACAATGTTATGTTTTGATCAGATTTTTCTCTTGGTCAGATCGAGAACTTTCTTCGAAACATATTAATACTTCAGCCACTTAATATTACTAGGAATGGCTGAACCACACTTCAAATTGAATCACCGCCTTAGTTCAGGTAATGCCAAAATAAAAACCTCAACGTCCCAATAGGAAACTTACACGTGCACGACTTTCGCTGTTTCAAGGTAATGCAACACCTGGAGGACCTGCAAAAAGATGGGCCTGAGAGTGGCCTCCGTCAAAAAGCTGCGTTTTCCCCAGGCTGCCAGGTACATCTCTTTCAGAGTAACACCGTCCACGTGTTCAAAGAACATGACCGGCCACTGCTTGCACTGCATGGCTCCGTAGCATGCGGCGATATTCGGATGACGCAGCTTGAGAGCAATGCGGAGCTCTTTGATTACTATCTCATCGAAACGCTCCTTTTCCGGATTTCGAAAGATCTTGGCTGCAACCTGAGAAACATTGAGAGGAACAATGCGTGAATTTATAAAAAATGCGTGAATTCATGTTCTAATACTTCATAAATACAAACAATAGGGGATATTCGTCTAACATGGTAAATAAACTAGTAGGTCGGCTTAAAGCCCAAGATCGGTATCCGTGGCCATTTTCTGATCAGAAAAAACGTTTGCACTGAGTGTTACAAACTCAGACGTGACGAGTGACCACACCCACATGGATACAAGAACATACTTTCCACGAGCCCTAGCTATTGAACCTGATGAACGTGATTGCGGGGTGGCAACACAGCCTCTATCTCTCCTTCCCTCTTCCCTCTCTCCCCGTCTCCTCTATCATTTCCTCTACGTTGTTCTTTGAATTCTAGACAAATTGCAGTTGTGATATTCGCGAAGTAATACGTCGATTTTGGTGGATGCGGGTCAGATAAAAAGATGTCACAGGAAGTAGCCCATGTTCAATACAGGCATGCAGGTACATCAAGACTGAACATCCACCGTCCCTGCTATTACAATGCTATGACGCGAGAGTGGATCACATGTGCAGCAGTGCGCGCTACTGTTCAACTGCTGGGCGAGTAGCCTTACCGACTTTGCTCCCGGGATTCGGGCGATGTGCACAGCACCGAATTGTCCCTGACCTAGCTTCGTCTTTTCTATCCGAACAAGCGAGCCCAGAACGGCTGTCGCTGACGAATCATTAAACTCCTGGGGCTCGCCAAAGAGATCAACCGGAAAGGGAGTGGGCCAACTTGAATCCATTTTTCTCGCGGAATTGTCAAGGGACGTGAACGGATTTGAACGAAATATGAGAGCTCAGAAGTATTCGCTATCGACAACTGTCTGGCGTTCAATCATTACCACTGCAACAGAGAATGGTCAACCCATGTTCATTATTATATACCTGATATATACTATAAAAAGCTGTACCGGTATTTGGTGTGTGTACTCACTCCACCGCGTATGCAGCATGTTAGTATGTCACTACAAATGGTTAGGCCCAGTAACCTAGGGTTAGGTGGGTACAGGGCTAATTATAATGACGTACGTTTGACGCACATACTTGGAGTAATTCTCATTTGCCGATCACGTGGTACAGCTAGCTGGACACTCAGTTAGACTTAGTTATCAGATGCAGCTCCTGAAGCGGTGGGAGGTGAGTGGATCCGCACACCAGCAAAGTGGCCAAAGACCGAAAGTCCCATTCAAAGTATCCATATTTCCCCCGTGCCAGGCCTAGAGTTCCCCATTAACTGTGGGTGGCAGGCACGGCTGGAAAAAACATCTTTCCGTTTTCGAGCAGGATTTGAACCTGGTGCCCTCTGTTGGTCAATCGTGGTCTCAGACCATCCCATTATGCTTGCCTGACGGTACCTAAAATCACTACGAATTCCTTCCTGCACAATGCATCCAGGTCGTCCTTTTCAAATCAAACAACACGAAGTCGCACTTTACTGCTGATATAAATGCCAACGATTTTCCACCTCAACTGCAGCGGGGTTTTTTTACCTTTTTTCTACATTGTATAATGACTGATGTACATATATGATGTATGTGCTTATACCCTAACGGCTCATTGTCTTTTGAGATAATGTTTAAAATAACTTGTTTTTTAATATTCAGGAGTTCTTCTTCTGGTTGAGGGGAAAGTTGAAAGCAGGAAAATCGGAAGTAATAATTGACTGTCACTACCACGACTCGGGTTTATCAGGTGTTAGCGGCCGTCGTGAGTTCCCTTCGGGAACGGATACGATAATTTACTTTTTTTTTTACCACGACTCGAACCAGTGACCCTCCCATTACTGGGCCACAATCCCCTTCTACTTTGCAAAGTAAAAATACAGAATACCATACATACCTTAAGTTACAGTAACCCACTCACTTAGCGTACAAACTAGCACGCAGGGAGTCCCAACATATTCATTAGCGTCAGGAGAAAAGGTCCATTGCTTCATTCAAAGAGTTGAGGGAATTCTGAGCATGGTCACTTCTTGCGCCTTGCATGGAATTCAGAAGATCTGCATACTAAGCGCCACGTGAAAGCACTTGATCGCACTCCGCGGAATGGAGTGAAACAGAGGTTGGGGTGTTGGTAAAGAGAAGAAAACACATGAGAACGAGTTATGCAGCAACTATCCACGACTGTAGCAAGATGACAAACAGTCAGAAAGTGCGACAATAGGACAAAAAACTGACAAGCTACTGAGACATTCAGCGACCTCAGCGTCAGCTTTGTGCCCTATAATCGAACTTTCTGACTGTGTATCATCTTGTTACAGTCGTGTACAGTTGCTGCATAACTCGTTCTCATGTGTTTTCTTAACTTTTTTACATTTACCGCATTACTGGCTCAGTATCCGAGTGTTGTTGTTGTTGTTGTTGAAATTTTATTTTGTATCGCAGAAAAAACGGGCAATGATGCACAATATTGTGCTTCGAGTAGAACAAGCATAGAGTGTGCTCTTGGTAAGCAGTAAGCAGCTCTCTCGTTACTATAGTCGGTAGCAAGGTGGCAGGTGGTTTTGAGCGGCGAGTGGAATCAGCAAATTATGCACCTCCTGCGGCGGCGCGATCGGGTTTCCTGCTGCTTCTGTGGAGCTGAGGTGCTAGTAACACTCGCAGCCGCAGCAGTAGTAGTAGCAGAAGCTGGAGCAGAATTCGTTGAAGCAGCAGTAGCAGCAGAATTGGTCTCCAATGACGATCCTAAGCCCTCGTCGGTACTGGCCCTGGTGGCGAATTGCCTCACACGCCTTAGCCGTTCTGCTGTGCTAGCTGATGGCCTTGGAGTGAGTACCTCCATCTCGTGTAAACGTGCCCTATAGACAATCATCTGCCAGCAGTTACTGTCTCTGTAGCGCAAGAATCAACAAGAAACAAGAACAAGGCTTTGTGAAGAGTCGACGAGGGGACAATAGTTTTTAAATCGCCTGAGGCCCAGTTAGTAAAATATCCTGTGCGGTCATTATATCACCACGCATCAACACACATAATCAATGAACAGTATATTGAATCAAAGAACGTTTCCTTGTGACAGACATCGCTTACATTGTAGGTCACTGATTGCGGATCACACGATACTCTTTGTATCATAAATCATGAAGGCTTTCCAAAACTATTTTCACGTCACAATCATCATTGTTATACCGCGACTAAAGGTTAACCATGCAGAAGACGTTGTGAAGACAACAATTAAAAAAAGCAAGAAGTAGCATGAATTCTTCCGTCACCACTACACATCAAACAAAAGTCATGATGGTTTTCCAAATCGATTTTCACGTCACATTTATCAGTGGCATATCTCGACTGAAGGCTAACCATGCAAAAACTATTTGTATTGCGATTTAATTCATTCCATAATAATGTGTAACCAATCAACAAGTCGAAACGCAGGAAAAAGAGAAAGCTGGCGTCACAAATTCTACTACTAATTTGTTTCAGAATTACCTGATAGAAACAATGACTCAATATCAGCACAGCTATCTATTTAGAATTTGTTAGGTTGTTGTTGTTGTTGTTGTTTATTTTACTTCGCAGATTCTAACGGGCAAATTGCCCAATAACAAGAAAGCGAAGGCAAAGAAAATACTAATACTAATAAAAGAAATACCCGGTGGCAGCAGAAAATGAATAATAGCTTTAAGAACTCAGATGGTGAGCCAAGGAAAAAAGGTCTCTTCATCGGAGCTATCAGAGTGTCAGAAACCGAACCGATCCAGTGAATAAAAAATCAGCTCATCACAGTCAAAGCGCACAAAATACGAGACACACAACGAACTTTGCACAATAAACAATAATGCTTCCGACCGTTTGCATTACAGTCATGCATGCAAAAATTACTTACTCCAATATTGACGTTGCAATCAGGTCTCCATCAACGTGAAAATAGCGAGCCATTTTGGAGATCACGTCTGCATTTAAGTCCTGAGCACACTGGAGTGTTGCCTCCTGCTCATAATCGATGAGAGCCAGTGGTCGATAGTCTGGTGCCCGGGTTATCCAATCCATCTGGAGGGCCTCCGCTGCGTCCGGCCGGCTTTCCGGCCGATACGCCAACAGTGCTTCGATGAAGCGACGGACATCCTTGGACAGCGTCTGATATTGGGGACGTTGCCTGTTAGGTCCTTCCAACAGTCTCTTCGCATGGTCTTCGGCCGGAATCTGTGCAAAGTCTCCGAAAGGTTGTGTGTACGTCAGCAGGAAGTAGAGTAGGCCTCCTCTGTGCAGTGCAAACGCGTAACAAAGGTATTCATGAGATTTAGTAGTAAAAGTAGTAGTAGTAGTATTTTGCTAGGGCAATCCCCACAGACTGTAAATTATGTATGATACCCTAGGCCTAGGTGTTTGCGAACGGTTTGCGTTAGACCTGGTCAGAGATCTGACCAAGTCATGAGATTGGCACGGACCAGCCAACGTCCACCACAGCATTATCTACCACAGCGTTATCCACGTGACCACAGCGTTATCCACCACAGCAATACCCAGCCCCGTCACTCCGGTGTGGGTTCGTAATCCGCGCTCGGGAAAACTAACTGTTAGCTACAACGTCATTCACTTCTGCATAACCGAACTCGACCATGTACTAGTATCAGACTGCAGATCTGTGACGTGGTGACCATGTACTAGTATCAGACTGCAGATCTGTGACGTGGCGACCATGTACTAGTATCAGACTGCAGATCTGTGACGTGGTGACCATGTACCAGACTGTACATCTGTGACGTGGTGAATATGTACCAGGGAGTAGTAAAATTACTACTCCCTGATATGTACCACTGGCAGCCTCATAGGTGTTATTTTGCCCATGCAGTGCCCATGACGACCATTTGCTGGTGTGGTCACCTGACTAGACCCACTATAAACCAGCTGCCCGCCTCATACCCCTTGACGGACGCACCCAGTACACAGAATAATGTCAGAATAACAAATATATTATATTACTGATCAATTCAACCCAATTCCATTGCAGGTGCATGAACGAAGAAGAAACTTACGCAAGGAACATGTCCGCCTTGTGATCATACCCACCCATGCCCTCAATGTTGATCTCCGGGGGGTAAGTGTACATTCCGGGCCGGGCTCGAGTAGCCTTGCCACGGGAGATATCCTGTGCGCAACCAAAGTCGATCAGCTTGACGACTCCGTCATCCGTAACCATCACGTTGTCGTATTTAATATCTCTGAAAAAGGAAAGCAGAGATGAAAGGGGATGTAGGAATGGAAAAAGGAGTCAATAATACTAACCTGCCACCTTGACTACCGGTCACAGTGCTCGATACACAGCGTACAGAGACTAGTACACACGAAAACCCGGTGGAATAAAAAACGTGATTAAATGTCTCTACTCACGAGTTTCATGCTGAAAAGCAATCTCCGTCTCCTGATGATTGCTTTTCAGCATGAAACTCGTGAGTAGAGACATTTAACCACTTTTTTTGTTCCACCGGATTTTCGTGTGTAATACTAACTTGCCTGGATTATTGAAACAAGACCCCATGTGTATCTACTATCTACCCAACTTACCCAAGGTTCATCTGGCGAGCAATGACGCCGAGACCTCCAGCTGACTTTCACGGGTCTCACCCACTCTATCTGCTGGGTATAGGCTCTTAGACGCAGCTTTTTCTATTTGTCCATCATGTGACTAGTAAAAATGGAAAAATGTAGACACAGCGTGTGCGCTCGAGTCCACCAACTCAACCAGATTCTGAACGGTCAGACGTGCACAATCTAGCACAAAACTGACAAAGAGTACTGAGACATTCCACGGCATGAAAGCCAGCTTGAGCCCTTCTCCATAGGGCTAACGAACGTACCAAATTTGTCAATTTACAATTTTTTCCTTGGCTCAACATTTGAGCTCTTCGTGCAACGAGTGTTTTTCGTAAAAACAAATTCGCGGTACTCATGGCACACACATACACACACACACACACACACACACACACACACTACATGGCGAAGGTTGTGGTCTTGAATTCTTACACATTGTGCACTTTCATCATGCATATTTTGCTAAAGGGCATTCCACCGTATTTAGCACTCTGGCTAGTTGCCCACATGGTGCGTCCATCTATGTTATTTGTTACCATTTCAAAGACATTTAGAACGAACGGAAAGGGTGCTCGGAATCGGTTTTACAAAACAGAGAGGTTCAACTTGGCCATACTCTATATCAAGTAAACATGCAATGATACAATACTAGTTGATCTGACTCGAATCAGTGTTATCCGTCCAGTTTCCACTTAATTATTCTCAAACTCTACTTACGCATGAACGATCTTTGCAGTCTGCAAGTAGTGCAACGCCACAAAGAGTTGCTGAAAGATGGGCCGTAGTTTGGCCTCCTGCAAGAAGCGGCGATCTGCATGCGCAATCATGTACATAGTCCTCAGTGTCACTCCCTCCACACGCTCAAAAAATATAACGGGCCACTGTTCGCACTGCATTGCTCCGTAGCATGCCGCGATGTTCGGATGACGTAGCTTCTGTACTATTCTCAGCTCACTGCAGGTCATCGTGTATCGTTCGTCTTTGTCCTGGTAGCGGAAGACCTTTGCTGCTGCCTGCGTTGCAAAATCGAAACACGAGTTATAAGTATCGTTATAATTTATTTCCCATTGCTATCAGGTTCGGCCTCATTTTCCCGGTGCTGGACTGATGAGTCCACAAAGGCCGTAACAGTTCTCTCCGCAGATTGAGTATCGTAATGTACTGTAAACAAGGTGGTCTGAGATTAAAACTTCAATATCGCAACAAAGAGGACAAACTTTGTGGACACCATTCTTTCATTGGTGCTAAATAATACTGCGAGTAGTAGCGAACGCGTGAGAGATGAATGTGAAATGTTCATGTGAAAGGAAAACATTAATGTTCAGAACCCTAGCCCTTGGAGGATGATTCCGATAGAAAACCCAGCAGAACTTGGTTAGTACTTAAGAATGTGCATAGTATGTATCGAGCCTTTTCAGAATGCGCACACTCCAGTGCACACTCCAGTGCAGCAAATGTATGGTTGAGAAAATACTTCAGTCGACGAATACGGCCTCTGGGCTGACATTGCATGAAAGCATTTTCGCTGCGCTCACCTGCCCCTCATCCTACCATAACTTTGAACCTTACGAGCTGGAAGGCTGTTGGTTAGCGCACTGGATATGCAATAGACCTAGGTCTCGTTGAATGTCTTAGCAGCCTGTCAGTTTTGTGCCCTGCTATCGCACCTTCAGATTGCTTATATTGTTGCGGTCGTACATAGTTGCTTCGTAACTCCATGCGATTTCTTCCATTTTCATTATATTGACAGGCTCAGTATCCAAGTAAAAAATAATTGTCAATCAATGTTTCGCATTGTATCAAGCACGTTCGGTACATAGATAAATCGGGAGAAGCAGAGATTTATATGGAATTGTCCTCCAGTAGATTTGTATTAACTTGAATATGTCACTGCTTGTCGAGCAGAGTGTATTATTGCTTTTAGCATTACTCAACAAGGCCAAAAGAGGACATGATCTTAACAAGTGTTCTTGAGTAGGCCTTTGCGGATAATGCCCGCAGAATATTGGCAGAATTCGTTACTATGTCTTTTTCTGGTAAGTTTCATGCATGTTTGGTACATGGATAAAGAAATGGAGCAGAATTCGAGAAATCGCCCGCCATAAGGTTTGTGTGTTTCGGCCAATTTCACTGCTTTTCGAGCAGAATCTGCCACCTTTTCAAGCATTATCCGCCAATGCCTATTCGTGAGAGATGTAAGCCTCAATAAACGCGACCACTAATCCCAGAATCAATTTCCATCAGCTTTGGTTTGGGCCTTTCAGACGTATCACTGTTTTTCAAGCAAAGGCTATCATTGTCCTTCTACTTAAGTCGCATTTTTCAACCAAGGCAAAAAAGCATTTGGTCCATTACTTATGTTAGAGAGAGAGAGAGATGTATGCCTCGCTAAACGCCAATACAATTCCTAGGATCAATTGTGTTCGGTTTTTGGCATGATGTCTTACTTACTGGCTCCATCCCGATCATTCGGGCGACGTGGACTGCTGCGAAACTTCCCTCACCAAGCTTTTCCCTCTCGAAGATGATCATATCGTCGAGGAGCAACCTGCTTTCATTGTATTGCCGGAATTCGCCGAAGAGATCCATCGGAAAGGGAATTGGCCAGCCAGTTGCCATCTTGCCGGGTAAGTCAACGAAAATCGATGAAAGTGAAACATTTAATAATTATAGAAAATGCCTTCTTCATGCAACGGGCTTGAACTCACTTCACAGCAGCACCAGGGAGAAAGATCAATAGGGTATTGATGTATACCAATGGCCGTTGTTTCCAGTGAAATGTTGTATGATTGAAACACTGTGTATATCTCATATCAAGCAATGAGTACATATGCAATTCAGCGACTAGCGTACATCCAACTAACAACCCAATCAGTCCACGCCATTCGAGCGACAGACAAAACATTGCAAGGCTCGCGTGACCAGGTGACACCATACGTGACACAGCTTTGCTTTGCTCGTATAACATCAGCGCGCTTATGGGTCACATGATGTCGGCCATAGCAGATCACACTGTCCACACACCACGGAGTTGTATAGACCATCCCTGCCGCACACTATGCAAATGCAGTTACCAGGGAGTCGTAAATGTTACTCCCTGGCATTTACATAGCCAAGATTAATTAAGCGGGATTCACAGAAGCTTTTTTTGCGATGCGACACGCGATGCGACAGCCGCGAAAGTTGAGGAACTCACTCTTCTCAATATGAACCAAACTGTGGTGTTCCCCGAGGTTCGTACCTTGCCCCTCCGCCTTTCTTTTGTATATCAATTCCCGTCCTGACATAGTAAAACCACACCTCACCCTTTCTCTTTGCTGATGATGTCACTCTTCTAAATGCTCATAATGTATCCCTCTCCTTAGATAAAAACATGTCCGACCTCCAGCAGGATCTGGCCAGCTGCCAGAATTGGGATCAGACCATCCTTGGGAAATTTCCTCCAGAAAAACCTTTCATCTTTTCGAATCATGACATTCCTGACTCCTCCTCTGTTTTAATGGACGGCGTTCCTATTGCCTTTGGACGTTCTGCTAAGCATCTCGGCGTACAGCTCAGTGATGGTTTGAAGTTCCATGACCACTTCCACACCATCTCCAGGAAGTTTCAGCAACGAGTCAACCTGTTATGTTTCATGGGCCGACATTTACCATCGTCCCATATTTTCCTCTTGTATAAGTCTTATGTGCGTCCGGCAATAATTGAATATGCCATTCCTGTCTGTTCATTTAGGATCACATCCGCTCAGTTAGAGTCCCTTGATGTACTCCAGGCTACGGTTTGCCGGCGACTCCTGAAGTCTGTGAAAATAACCTTTGATATCCATGAATCAAAATCCAATTTGAACACATTGTGTTACTTAGAATCTCTGCAATTTCGCCGTGTCTTTATTTCTCTTGTTGTTTATTTAAGTACATAAATTTTCACCCAGAATATCTCTCCCGCTTTGCGATAACCATAATGTAGTGCCCGTAGGCCGAAAAAGCTCATTTTTAACTCACATGGTCGTATTTTTCATCCCTTTTCCTACAGAAAACTGGTTCCCTTTGGAATTGTCTTCCACCCCGATTGACAACTTTAGATTCCCTGTCTGAATTCAAGCGTCATTTACGTATTCACATTGCCAAGTATCAGTTCCACTGCACTGGTACACCTTTGATGTGCAATCTTTAGTTTACATGTTTGTTCTTTTCTTTTCTGTCTTACTTTCTTTCCTTGGGTTTCATATTATTTCGTGTTAAATCCAACATGTCGCACTCACTTTCTCTAGCATCCTTAAAACTATGTTTATGTTGTTATGTTTTAGACTTCCCGTGTAGGACCTTCGCCGATGCTTCACTAGGGTGGTCAGACCCCAGTAAAAGTATTGAGTTTCTTGATTTGATCATCTCTATTAATGATAAATCCACATTCACATTCAGTACTTTCCAAAAGCCCAGGAACGCTTATTTGTACATCCCATTTACGTCCGACCACCCCCGCTCATGTTTCAGAGCCTTTATTAAAGCTGAATTGCTGCGCTATAACCACACAAACAGTGAGATCACCTCCCTGCTCGCTATACGTGATGCTTTCTGGACCAGGCTTCGCAAGCGCGTGGTTACCCTCCTAGGTTTCTCCACGATGCGTTCAGTGATACCCCAGCTAGCTGTCAACTCATACCTCCAGCTAGCTCTGTGCAAGCTTCTGCCTCTTGCCCCACAGTTTTTGTTACTGACTATCACCCTGGCCTCCTCAGCCTTCAACGCACCCTGCAAAATTCTTTTCGCGCTAACTTATGTTTTAGGAAACCACATTCACGCTGGGTATAGGTATTTATTACCTCCATGCCATGCCTTGCACTCAACCTCATGTTTGTTTTTTCGCCTCGCAAGCAACCCCGTGTTTTGTTCACGCTTTCTTTCGCGCTAAATCGCTAAATTGCTTTTTTTCGCGCTAATTACTCGACAGTGCTCAACGCCTGTCTGTCCAGTTCGCTGGTTATATTGAGTTCCACATTGTCATTTATCCTCATTCCTCTGATGAAGTGACTCATGTCACAGAAACCGGTCAGGTTAAAGAACTTGGAACTCTCCTTGCTTGTGAGTGCGTGGTTGTTATGTTTTAGACTTCCCGTGTAGGACCTTCGCCGATGCTTCACTAGGATGTCGCACTCACTTTCTCTAGCATCCTTAAAACTATGTTTCTAGTACATACACCAATAGGAGATCCCCCAGATAGGCGTTAGCCTTTGAGTTATCCTTAAATAAAGATTACTACTATTATTATTTGAAACTCGGATGTTGATCCATAAATAAATGTAGAAGACTTTCTGACCGTATATAGTATCATGTTACAGTGATGGAGAGTTAGTCTTAACTCGTATCCATATGTCCTTTTCTCTTGTACAATTATTATTATTATTATTGATTATTACATATGCTCTAATCAGTACAAAGCGCACGTCGTCGTTCCAAGTCTCCATTATAATTATCTTCTTTTCTTAAATCAATCATTTTCATGTTCGGCTGCGTGCATGTTAGTCACCAGCATATTCATCTTCGTGGCGCCAATGAAGCAGACGCAGCGGATGTAGATGCAGCGGGTGAAGATGCGGCGGAAGCAGATGCGGCAGCGATTGGATTATTCTTCCTGTGGAGATTGGCTTGATAGGCGATTGCCTCCCACGAGGCCCTGTTCCTGCAAACGGGAGAGAGAGAGAAAGGAACAAACTCAGACCATACGATCACTGGCGCAGCATATCATAACTGTATAACTGCAAATACTATGTCTTTGAAAAAGAATGCGCCACATACCTAGCCTGGAATAATCGCAACTACTAAAAAACAATTGACGGCTCGCGTGAGACTCGGTTTGTCTATATAGATGCCGAGTTTTCCGCATCCGTAGGAACGCCACCACCCTTCAAGGATCAGGGCGCAGATGCAGCTCCTAAAGCGGTGGGAGGTGAGTAGATCAGCCCACCAGCATTTGGTCAAAGACCGAAAATCCCATTCACTGCATCCATGTTTGCCTCGTACCAGGCCACGAGTTCCCAATTAACTGTAGGTCGCAGCACGGCTGGAAAAAAATCTTTCCGCTTCCAAGCAGGACTTGAACCTGGTACCCTCTGTTTCTCAATCATGGTCTTAGACCATCCCACTAAGCCTGCCTGCCTATGCTGCCTATGCCTGCAAGTACGTACGATGTGTGAAAATATGTGGTGTGAAGTATCCGAGATCATGCGCGCTTTTTGGTGAGATCGACATTACGGATCCTTAGCTAAAGCGTCAATTGCCTATGTAGTTGTAGTTGATGTGGTAACTTGAAACTATAGCACCGGTTTACATAGCGGAGTAAAATATGATACACAAAATCAGTAGGCTGCTCTAGTGCTGCTGCATCGCGCAATGCCCGCTACTTTTTGTAGTTTGAGCACTCTGGCGCTAGAGCGACGAGCTACCTTAATGTCTGTGGTTCCTCCTTTGCACCATGGCTGGTTGCTCGGCCTATTTAGCTCGTAGCTGTACTGATGAGGCCTTTATGGCTCCTCGGCTTTCGCCTTGTTGAGCACTCTCAGTAGGCTGCTCTAGTGCTGCTGCATCGCGCAATGCCCGCTACTTTTTGTAGTTTGAGCACTCTGGCGCTAGAGCGACGAGCTACCTTAAAATGTCTGTGGTGCCTCCTTTGCACCATGGCTGGTAGCTCAGGCTATTTAGCTCGTAGCTGTACTGATGAGGCCTTTATGGCCGAAACAGCTTGCTGTCTACAGCATTGGATATAGAAAATCGTATAAACGTTCGGATGCTTTGTGCAATTTCCGCCAGACAGCAACTGAATGTCTCCAGTGATCGTGGACAATCGCTAGTTTCATTATCCCAAGATGCACCCCACATACAAACACTTGTGTGCGAATTAAGGCTACAAAGTACAAACTAAATCAGTACCACAGATCTTACCATGCAACATGTTAAGGTGTTTGAGGTTTCTAAAGGGTGAGTGAATCCAGAATTGATTTAATCGACATGTTTGTAGCATTAAGATTAAACCTTAGTTTCCAGGCAGCCACAGTGGGTTGGTCAAAGACCATGATTGAGATACGAGAGGTACCTGGTTCAAGTCCTGCCTGGGAGTGGTTTTTCCAGCCTTGCTGCTACGCACAGTCAACTGGGAACTTGTGGCCAGGCACAAGGGGTACATGGATGCAGCTAATGGGGTCGTTCTCAGCACTTGTGTCAGTGGTTGTGAGACTTATCCACTCACCCCCACCGTTAGGCGCTGCATCAGCCGCTAGGGTTTACCGGGTGTTAGCGCCCGTCGTGAGTTCCCTTCGGGAACGGACACGATAATTTTCTTATTTTCCTTTTTTTCTCGCAGGTTTCTAGTGTACCGACTGATCAACATAGACTATCCTAAATGGAGTTGTCATTGTGTGCAGATTGTAAAGTTTCATTTTCTTTTTATTTTCTTTTTGTTTGTTTTGTTTTTGTGAAAAGAAAATCGATTTTGGTAAACCTTCATGACTTTGTTGTAGTGTGGCGATGACAGCAGAATTTGTTCTCTTTATAGCTATTATAAAATTGTTTTCTCCTCGTCGATTATTTGTTTTGTTTTGCTTTTTCTTTAGTCGTTGCGTCAGGCCAGTGAAATCATGATCTTTGCTTGCCCGTATAAGAGGCTTAACCCTCATTCCAGGTTGTGGGGTCCAAACGGACCATATGGGTATGATTTTTGAAATATGTTTACTCTGCTGCATCACATCTCCCTGAAACTTCATGTATTCCTCAACTACACAATAACCAAGATAAATAAATATTCTAGGTTAGAGGTTCATGATGGATTTCCTAGGTGCATGCTGGATTTCACTTTTTCACGGTAATGTGGGCGGGGTCCAGATGGACCCCAGTAATATAAAACACAGGGAAGTGCAACAATTGGGATAGGTTTGGCATTTATAGGGTCACCGAATACATGGATGATACCCACTGAAGTATGAGGCCCTACAAGAAAATGTTCGTCTATAGCCATAATCCCTCATTCCATGTTGACTTTTATCCTATGTTCCCAGTATATTGGGGTCCTTTTGGATCCCAGGAACGTTTTGGGTGGTATTCTTGCAAACGTGCAAAATAATCCCGACAAACTTCAGAGCTGTCAAGAAATTCAGTTTGGTCAAAGCAGTGGTCTATGGGAGGGTAACACAGCAAAAAAGAAAAGTAAAATGGAGAGTTTGCAAGAATACCACCCAAAACATTCCTGGGGTCCAACAGGACCCCAATATACTGGGAACGTAGGAAAAACGTCAACATGGAATGAGGGATAAAAAATGTTTTAAGCTTTCTAGTGTGCTGCTTGTACTTACCTCAGAATGATGCCAGTCAACCCGCATTTGCTAACCTGCAGACATTGCGCCATCTGTGTCAAGAGAGCGTCGTCAAGTTCTGCCGCAGTCCGTGGATACTGGCGGTCCTGATGGTTCCTTAGATCTGGTTCCTGATACCTGGGGGATCTCATGAACCAGGGATTCTGCAGGCAGTAAGCAGCATCTGGCCGTTGCCTTGGATCATAGGCGGTCATGTCGTCGATCAGGGTTTTCAACTCCTGTGATAACCTGGAATAGCCTATATAACGCTTTTTTACCTTCCCGCGGAGCTGTATGTCTTGCTTTTCCACGGTCATGCCATGGACCATGCCGAACGGGTAAAAGTCTTTCGTGGCCAAACTGTAAAGCAGCGAACCGCTGTAGAACGTTCATTGGAAAAAAAGAACACGAACTAGGACTTAGGACTGTACTAGTAATATGAAGAGGGAGATCCCCTCACAAGCCTCGTGCCTCTGGGTGGTCCTTCGACAACATACAGCAAAGAGATCATCATGGCTGGCTTGAGACTCAGTTAGACTGCGTATTCAGCACCCGTAGCAACGCCACCATCCTGCACGGATCTAAGGCGCAGATCCTAAAGCGGCGGGAGGTCAGTAGATTAGCCCACCAGCAAAGTGGCCAAAGACCGAAACCCCCATACGCTGTAATCATACTTCTCTCGTGCCAGGGGCTGCTGCTAGCATTCATTTTAGCTCACCGGAAACCGTACACAACAACACAGCGCTATCCTCCCACCAAGACTAACTGCAGAACCAATCATTATTGTTTTCAAGAATGAGCTTCGCAAACTCACTTGCAAACATAGTGCTTCGCTCTCCGTTATGCCTACGCCATGTACATAACCCCCCTCCCCCGTGTGCTCCCCAACCCCTTGGAGCCTTGGAAGTTTACAGCTATGTTTGCAAAATGCAGGGGCAGCTCCCCTGGGAGCATTGGATGTGTACAGCTACGTTTGCAAAATGCAGGGGCATTTCCCCTTGGAGCTTTGTATATTTACAGCTAGGCTTGCAAAATGCAGGGGCAGCTCTCCCTCGGAGCGTGGTTTGTTTGCAGCTGAGATGGGGAGTGCAACCGAAGATCTCCTTTCGAGCTTGCTTGTTCGCATTTGCTTGTTAGCACCGTAGCTCGGGCACTCAGCAGGTCCTGACTGGCCTCTAGCGCACACTCCCGGCCACATTTATTGCCTGTTGCAGGATAGGGGCCTCACCCCATATTTTTTGGACGATCGGCGGGCGGGAAGCCGTCATCGACCTAAGAGGCAAAATATAAGAATAACTGAGAAACTAATAATGGTATACAACGCGCCAACCCTTTGGCTCTGTTGTCGGCCCTGCGGGGGGCACCCAGGTATCCCCCTCGTGCGAACACCACCCGTGGAAGCAGAAAAGTTGTGACGGCTTATTCAGTAGTGCCCAGCACCAGCAGGACCTACCAATCAGGGGAAAGCCTAGCAGTCCTTCATGGCAATTCCCTTGGTAGACCCCCTCAAGCTGACACAGGATCTGGCCACCAGGAAGGGGCCTGGACGGCAGCTCCAGGTCACCGGAAGGTGGTCAGGGTTGACCCGCAAGAGATGCATGTGCGGTGGAGCCTGTGACTAAACGGCCACCCCTTGGGGCCAGAGAAAGCGGTCTTGAGGGGCAGGTGGTCCTTAGTTGGAGGCTTGCACCGCAAACTATGAATGTGAGACCGTCCGTGCCCGGCGAAGGTGTCCATAGTACCAGGCGGGTAGCTAGTCACACTTGTATCCAACACGACAGCCCTTCGGCTGTTGTCTGCCCGGCTTGGGGCGCCCGGTATCCCCCCGTGCGAACACTACCCGCGGAAGCTGACAAGTCGTCAGCGTATTCAGTAGTGCCCAGCACCAGCAGGAGCTACCAACCAGGGGAAAGCCTAGCAGTCCTTCATGGCAATGCCCTTGGTAGACGCCCTCAAGCTGACACAGGATCTGGCGGCCCGGACGGCAGCTCCAGGCCGCCGGAAGGTGGTCAGGGTTGACCCGCAAGAGATACATGTGCGGTTGAGCCTGTGGCTAACGACCACCCCTTGGGGCCAGAGAAAGCGGTCCTTAGTGGCAGGTGGTCCTTGGCTGCAGGCCTGCACCGCACAGCCATTATGAATGTGGGACCGTCCGTGCCCGGCGAAGTGGTCGGTAGTACCAGACTGGTCGCTGGTCACGGTGGTCTTTAGCTACTGGTTTCACTGTATACCGAATCAGGCATGCCATCACAGGTCTACAGCGAACAGCACAGAGATCGACGGGACCAAGAATAGGGGATAGCGTGCGGCAAAGCCACCCCCATTATTTTTGGGAGGCACGGCTTCACGTTAGAGCAGTCAATTGCAGTTAGGGACTCAGCTGAGTCAAGCTGGACTCAGCGTGTCAAGCTTGGCATAATACAATAAGCGCGCTATCCCCAAACAGTTGTGTGGTTATTGTGTGAGTGTATATGCAGGAGTCCGCGGTCACGTGAGGGGGGAGTGATAAATGGAAGTTTCCGGAGGAGGAAGGAGGAAACTGTAGTTATCACCAGCCCTCACCGCGCCCAGCTCACGCCGCTACGGCGTGCGACCTGAGCTGGGCGCCCTGCCCAGTATGGAACTGTCCTCAAGCCAGTCACGTATTTGGCAGCCCAGTGAGCTGTCCACCGGATCGCAGCGTTTAGAAGCGCCAAATGCGGCAGGGCCAGTCTCAGGCGGGTCGCGTAGGCGGCAGGCCGGCGGGCGACCGGCAAGGCTGCATTCGCATTTGGATCACCGAAGTGATACAGGTGCTTCGACGGCACTCCGTGGCGCATCAAGGAGGCATCTGGGGCCCAGGCAGCCCGCCCGTAAGCGCACCACCGTATCAGGTATGCGCAGGTGGAGCAGCAGAGCAAGATGTGTGCCGGACACTCACCATCATCCGGTCGACTGCATGGTTGTGCGACTTTACACAGCCGTCACTCATTACTTGCTATTGCTTGCAGAAGGCCAGAATTTTTTTTTCTTTTTTCGCTCTTTCCCTTCTTCCAGGCACGGCTTCACGTTAGAGCAGTAAATTGCAGTTAGGGACTCAGCTGAGTCAAGCTGGACTCAGCGTGTCAAGCTTGGCATAATACAATAAGCGCGCTATCCCCAAACAGTTGTGTGGTTATTGTGTGAGTGTATATGCAGGAGTCCGCGGTCACGTGAGGGGGGAGTGATAACAGATATTATTATTATTATTATTATTTGATAACCGCAATCAGTAATACAAGCTGGATCGACATTTGTGTACACTGTATTCATGTATTGTAAAACTGTGGAGACAATGTGCAATAAAACGATGAAAAATGTGAAGAAATTGTGTAGAGAAAGAAAGGGATTCAAACAAGTTTTCGTACAACACTCATCAGGAATCATCGTTGTACTAAAGGACACTGAAACAAAAATTGAACTATTATAGAAAATCTAAGTTAGAGAAATAACACTAAGAGCAACAACAGTGAAATTTACAAGTGTGAATTTTAACAATCAAAGCGAGAAATGAACAAAGGAGAAAGGAAGGAAAGACAACGTGATAACACATAACAGCAGTACATTACACCTAGAACATTAACGGCCAAGCTTGGCCGCACTAAACACGACACGTTACTTGAACAATTTCAACCCAATTATACTATCTTTCTGTACACACAAATTAGGCTTGTACAGACGCTGATAGATAGCTTCCAACACTTTTAACTGTAGTCCATAACCATGACGATCACGGCACAATACAGTGAACGAAGAGTCAGAATACGCACCGCAACAATCAGGACTAGCCAGCAGATGATTGTACACTGAAGACTTGCTACCACGAAACCTACGCACAACACTAACACTCTCACCGGCACTCTCACCATCACTCCCATCACTGCTCTCCGACTCACTGCTCCCTCCGCCGTCCGTTCCATCCTCCGCTTCCTCTGCACTCTCTCTGTCTCGTCCATCCCGCCTGACCGGGTCCATTGAACCCAACTCGGCCGTCCCCCTGCTATCACGTCCCTCCTTTCGCCCTCGTCCGCTGAGTGCGTAGCTTCTGTTGTAGTTGGCTGTTGATCGTCTTGGTCTTTCAATTATGGGCTTGGATGGTGGATTAGTTGTGGTTGCTGTAGATTGCGTTGTTGGTGTTGGTGTGGGAGTTACTGATATGCAAGGTGGGTCTTTTTGAGTCGGCATTTGTAGTGTTAATGCAGCTGTCAGTGTTGCTCGCGGTCTGCCACTGGCAAGCTCCACCGCCGCAAGAACCGATGGCGGAGGATCAGGAGGAGGCAGTGGGACCGGGACCGCAAGCGGCACCGCCTCAGCCAAAGCCGCCGGGGGCACTGACGAGGGAACCACCGACGGCCGGAGCAAAGGCGGCGACACAAGCCGACCCGATGAGCCACCACGCCCATTCTCCTCCACCACCGCCACCAACGACGGCGGAGCAAGCACAGTCTGAGAGCCAGGATCCGCGGGTTGTGTAGGCAACGGCTGTGTGGTTAATGGTTGTTTTCTAGGTCGCCCTCGCTTCGGTCTTTGTTGTTGTGCGCAAGGTGGAAGTATGTGACGTGGTGTGTGTTGTTTGATGCGTGCGTTCAGGTGCTGAACAGTCCTACCAACATACCGACTAGCGCATTGTCGGCATTCAAAGTTGTAAATAAGATGACTAAGGTGAAGGGCTGGTAGGACATCCTTCCGCACCGTAAACGCACGCATCGTCGTAAAAACTGGCACAAAGTGTACTGCATAGTATGTTCGACGAACAACGGACTTGACTGCACTACAAACTTTAGTCGACTCCTGTCCTTTCCAAGGCAAACATAAATAGACGGGACAACGAGCAGGACCAAACAAAGGAGCCTTAGTAGTTTGTTCGACTTTCAACAACTTCTGCAACAAAAACTCAGGGTAACCGTTCTTAACGAAAACTGACCGGAGAAAGTCAAGCTCTTCCTGCAGCTTACAGGACGAACAAATACGCTTCGCACGGTCTACAAGGTTACGCACTAAGTTTACTTTATATTGAGACGAACAATAAGAGTCATATACAATGTACTGACCAGTAAACGTCGGCTTACGGCTTATTACCAAACATGACAAGACATATAACTGGCTCAGAAGGAAACGTTACGGCCAAGTTAACATCGATCCCGACACAACAATAATCAACTTAACCCCATTGGAATTGACTACTGTACAGAAGGAGCTCCTTTGCCGTGGCACTGATTTTGGCGTTCCCCCATCATCAAAGAAAAAAGAAGTTATCATGACCGAGTTCGAATTGTTTTATCGAAAGTTATTACGCTTTACGCCAATATCAGAGGCCCAACAATCAATATGCGCTGCAAAGATCCGAGCTGAGGCTGAGGAGCATGCGGACAAACTTCCAGACAAGCGATCGTTTTCCTTAGGCCAGGAACACATGAAAGCCCTGCGTGACTTCCGCAAAAACACTGAAATTATCGTCACGCGCCCGGACAAAGGGCGGGCTACAGTTCTGATGCTCAGAACTGATTACATAGACAAGATGTCTGTCATCCTAAATGACACATCAAAGTTCCAGACCATCGGCCCGGTTGAAAGTTTTGATCGAACAGAGAAAGTAGAAAAAGAACTAGTAGCTTACCTAAAGAAACTGATAGCCGACGGAGAAATATTCTCCAATGATTTCGATCGCATAAAACCGACAGGCACGCTCCGGCCTAGGCTATATGGCTTACCAAAAATACACAAGCCCACATGTCCAGTACGTCCCATCCTTTCTATGACGGCCTCGCCGCAGTATTCTATTTCCAAGTGGCTGTGTATTTACTTACAACCAGTGCAGGACCACTATTGCAAGCGCACTGTAAAAGACAGTTTTGATTTCGTCGAAAAGCTCCGCAACAAGCCTGTACCACCCAACGCACACATGTGTTCGTTTGACGTCGTCAGTTTATTTACTAATGTGCCGATTGAAGAAACTGTTGACATCTGCATGGATGTTTTGTACCGTAATGATGACATTGACACTCCTTGGATATCTGAAAGTGCGTTTAGACGATTGTTGTTGCTGGTCACAACTGGAGTTGAGTTTTCGTTCAACAATGTCATGTACAAACAAGTCGATGGTGTCGCGATGGGTTCGCCCCTTGGTCCAGTATTGGCAAACGTGTTTGTCGGTTACTGTGAGTCGAAGATTGATGATTCATTGTGGCCTGACCTTTATGTACGTTTCGTGGACGACTCATTCACATATTTTAATAATGAGGAGCGTAGTAACGAGTTTCTGGACGTGTTAAATGGTATTCACCCTGCCCTTCGTTTCACATGTGAGCATGAACAGTCCAACAAGTTGTCATTTCTCGATGTGCTGGTGGAAAAAACGAGTAGTGACGTTCTGACAACCGTTTATCGTAAGCCGACGTTTACTGGTCAGTACATTGTATATGACTCTTATTGTTCGTCTCAATATAAAGTAAACTTAGTGCGTAACCTTGTAGACCGTGCGAAGCGTATTTGTTCGTCCTGTAAGCTGCAGGAAGAGCTTGACTTTCTCCGGTCAGTTTTCGTTAAGAACGGTTACCCTGAGTTTTTGTTGCAGAAGTTGTTGAAAGTCGAACAAACTACTAAGGCTCCTTTGTTTGGTCCTGCTCGTTGTCCCGTCTATTTATGTTTGCCTTGGAAAGGACAGGAGTCGACTAAAGTTTGTAGTGCAGTCAAGTCCGTTGTTCGTCGAACATACTATGCAGTACACTTTGTGCCAGTTTTTACGACGATGCGTGCGTTTACGGTGCGGAAGGATGTCCTACCAGCCCTTCACCTTAGTCATCTTATTTACAACTTTGAATGCCGACAATGCGCTAGTCGGTATGTTGGTAGGACTGTTCAGCACCTGAACGCACGCATCAAACAACACACACCACGTCACATACTTCCACCTTGCGCACAACAACAAAGACCGAAGCGAGGGCGACCTAGAAAACAACCATTAACCACACAGCCGTTGCCTACACAACCCGCGGATCCTGGCTCTCAGACTGTGCTTGCTCCGCCGTCGTTGGTGGCGGTGGTGGAGGAGAATGGGCGTGGTGGCTCATCGGGTCGGCTTGTGTCGCCGCCTTTGCTCCGGCCGTCGGTGGTTCCCTCGTCAGTGCCCCCGGCGGCTTTGGCTGAGGCGGTGCCGCTTGCGGTCCCGGTCCCACTGCCTCCTCCTGATCCTCCGCCATCGGTTCTTGCGGCGGTGGAGCTTGCCAGTGGCAGACCGCGAGCAACACTGACAGCTGCATTAACACTACAAATGCCGACTCAAAAAGACCCACCTTGCATATCAGTAACTCCCACACCAACACCAACAACGCAATCTACAGCAACCACAACTAATCCACCATCCAAGCCCATAATTGAAAGACCAAGACGATCAACAGCCAACTACAACAGAAGCTACGCACTCAGCGGACGAGGGCGAAAGGAGGGACGTGATAGCAGGGGGACGGCCGAGTTGGGTTCAATGGACCCGGTCAGGCGGGATGGACGAGACAGAGAGAGTGCAGAGGAAGCGGAGGATGAAACGGACGGCGGAGGGAGCAGTGAGTCGGAGAGCAGTGATGGGAGTGATGGTGAGAGTGCCGGTGAGAGTGTTAGTGTTGTGCGTAGGTTTCGTGGTAGCAAGTCTTCAGTGTACAATCATCTGCTGGCTAGTCCTGATTGTTGCGGTGCGTATTCTGACTCTTCGTTCACTGTATTGTGCCGTGGTCGTCATGGTTATGGACTACAGTTAAAAGTGTTGGAAGCTATCTATCAGCGTCTGTACAAGCCTAATTTGTGTGTACAGAAAGATAGTATAATTGGGTTGAAATTGTTCAAGTAACGTGTCGTGTTTAGTGCGGCCAAGCTTGGCCGTTAATGTTCTAGGTGTAATGTACTGCTGTTATGTGTTATCACGTTGTCTTTCCTTCCTTTCTCCTTTGTTCATTTCTCGCTTTGATTGTTAAAATTCACACTTGTAAATTTCACTGTTGTTGCTCTTAGTGTTATTTCTCTAACTTAGATTTTCTATAATAGTTCAATTTTTGTTTCAGTGTCCTTTAGTACAACGATGATTCCTGATGAGTGTTGTACGAAAACTTGTTTGAATCCCTTTCTTTCTCTACACAATTTCTTCACATTTTTCATCGTTTTATTGCACATTGTCTCCACAGTTTTACAATACATGAATACAGTGTACACAAATGTCGATCCAGCTTGTATTACTGATTGCGGTTATCAAATTGTTGTCTCCTCGCCGTTTGTTCAATTATTATTATTATTATTATTAGCCCTTTCCCAAAGGTGCTCTTTTATTTCGCATTTAGTGCTTTTCGCGTCCCTCAAAATATTAGCATAGCCATGATACATGTACATGTTCAAATATGAACCCAAGCTGAGAAGTGAATACGCACTCTTCCATTTATGGGTCCACAAAAGGCAAAACAGGAAGTAAAGTTCAAAAAGCCCACTTTTTACAGCGTTGTGTACAAGCTTCCCTAAGGGCGCGTTCAGACTACCGATAAAAGGTGACGGAATGGAAAAGTTTCCAAGGTGATTTGATCACGTGACGTTACTGGCACGTTACCGGCGGAAAAGTTTTACTGCCGTGGCTGCTGCGGCAGTAAAGTTTTCCCGGCAGTAAAAAAGTGCGCAGGCTGCATGCGCGCTGTGAAAAAGGGAAAATCCCTTCTCAGCGCCGCGGTGAGAGGTGGAAAACGTACGTACCGGTAACGTTACTTTATCTGTAGTGTGAATGTCCTTCACGGTTTATCGGCATTCACGGTTTGACGGGGTTCACGGTAGTCTGAACGCGCCCTAACTTACTTGTTGCCCCCAAAAAAGCGGCGTACCAAGGCCCGGGCCCATCGAGCACTCGGAAACTGTGATCGATCGCAAGCATGAGCAAACAGATTTTAGCACTTTTTTAGCTCAAAAAGCTCAAAAAGGGCGATACTCACCAAAAAACGCAATAAAGGGCGAAAGAAACGGGCTTTTCCAAAAAGGGCCAAAAAGGGCGAAAAAATGGCGAGCACCTTTGGGAAAGGGCTAAGCGCTATACTCCGCCTTCTATTTTTACAGCTTCGCATTACCCATTGCCAGAATGTGTAAGCCTTGACTAATGCAGCGCTAAAAATGGTTTTATCACTCCTTTAGGTCTTGCTCATTTCACGCCAGGTGAGGTCAGCACTGCTTATTTCGGCGCCAAGTAGAGCGGACGTATATAGACAAAGGGGCGCCAAGAGGTGATCATGAATACCAACATTTGAACCCTAGAATCATAAAATTTCATTACTCATGTACTTTTGTTAACCCTCTCGTGGAAGGAAACCCTGGGCTTCGCTGGTTACTGCTATTAACTGAGGGTCGCAGCACGGCGGGGAAAACATTCTTCTGCTTCCAAACAAGACTTGAACCTGGTAAACTCGGCTTCGCAATCCTTGCCACTACACTACACTACACGTATAACTACAGTTGCGCCCACTGAAATCCGACCCAGAGTGCAAAGCTGGCGCCCTGGACCAGTTCCGATAACATCATTGTGGGTGTACATATGTGTACGTCCAGCCGCATTCATTCCACTGCCAGGGCGTCAAGGGATGAGCAAGTTGAGGGTGCCAGGTTTGCTCGTTGGGTCGGAATTCAGTGAGCGCAACTATGCATGTAGGTGTGGACACTGGGTACGGTACAGCTTGTTCATAAAACTCTGCGTGCAACACTTACCAAAAGAATATGTCAGCCTTTTGATCCACGCCACCCATAGATTCCAGGTTAATTTCTGGCGGATGAGTGTGCATGTCAGGTCGGATCACCATTGGCTTGCCTTCAGCGAAGCTACGAGCGCACCCGAAGTCGATGAGTTTGGCCGGACCGTTCGTTTTGATCATGACGTTTTGGGCTTTTAAATCCCTGAAATGGCAACGGATCAACAGGGCAACGAACGGGATAAGGAAGAGATAGCCACAGAGACACTATTGTAAATGTATAATTAGTTGCTGTCTGATGATCTGTTAAAACCGTCAAACTCAGAATAACACCCAAAACGCTTTTGATTCCTCTCAAGTGTGAGTAAATTTACGAGTATATTGCTACGTCATGTGACGCGTATCTCAGTCATGTGACGTGTATCTCAGTCATGTGACGTGTAACTCAACATTATGTAGCTCTTCAGGCAATTAATGGAAACTGCTCACTTTGATGCACATTCGTCACACCCTCGGAAAGCTAGTCTAAACCACATGATACTTCGACGTGCTTCCAAGTACTGTACATGTTAAAAATGTAGGAAAGGATGAGCTGTTGCTAGTGACTCCTTAGCCTTCTGATAAACATTGTCACCTGAAAACCGGCAACAACACTAGAATTACTTTGTTTAGCGCCAACTGTCGCAGTACTTTGAACAGAAATACCCGGGACACACCCTACACGGCACTGTATCACCTCCCCCCCCCCCCCCCATCCATTGCACTTACAGATGCACTATGCGTGCTGTTTGTAGATAATGAAACGCTTCCAGAAGATTCGTGAAAATCCTGCGTAGCTTATCTTCGCAGTAATATCTCCCCCCTGAGGTTTCGTGCGTGAAGTGCTGTGCCAGATTGGTGCCATCCACCCGCTCGAAGTACAATACCGGGGATACCGTCGATAGCATGGCACCGAAACATGCAACAATGTTCTCGTGCTTCAGCATACATGAGATATTGTACTCATTGCACACTGCCGCTGCCCTATCATCCGAGTTAGGGTGGCGTTCGAACGTCTTTGCAACCATTGTGTCATCCTGCGCATAGTATCAAGGCACAGAGAACAACCGTTTGTTTAGGGAGGGACAATCAGGTAAAAGTGTTAGCAGTGCCCTTCATGATGACCATAGACGATAATCGAGCTCTCATCAAAATTATGATCATGGTGATACGGCAGCAAAAATATTAATAATACACTTCTTTAGTATTGACTCCATTGAATTTCGCCATAACTAAGCAGTCACATCATAATATACCTGCACATTTCCCTCCTTAGGGCTATATTTCACACAGTTATACTTATAATACCACCCGAGCGGCAGGGTTTCCGGGGTGTTAGCGGCCGCCGTGAGTTCCCTTCGGGAACGGACACGATAATTTACTACACTTTCTTTTCTTTTTTTATTATACACCACTGCCCGCAAAGGTCTTTTGGCTACAATTTTATTCCAAACATATTTAAAATAATCACTTCAAAAGAAGATAGTAATTAAACGAGAGAGCTTGGAAGCTCAGGGCCCTACGCTACGTTTTTTTTGCCCAGCGAGCGTCAACTTTCTCTTTGCATTCGAGGGTAATACGACACCGTCTACCACCTTGATGACCTACGAAAAAAGCATAAGGATGTTATAAATTTTTCATTTCTCCTATTTTTTTAGACATAACCTGTGGTTTGAACCCGCACTATCGCCCTGCATGCATTCTCCGATACACTTCGCATACATACTCATTCTTCCAAGTAGAGTTTAGTTGCTTCACATTGCAGTGTCCGGAGTTGCAACATTTCTGGCGGACAAGGGGTTAATCCTCAACGCGCAGAAAACCCAGGTTCTGGGCATCTCCGCCGGAAGGCGGAACAGACTAGAGCTTGAAGTTACATGTCGTGGCACTCCTCTGGCTCAAACCAGCACAGCCAAATACCTTGGTATTTGTCTGGACGAGCGCTTGAGCTGGGCAGGTCAAGTTGCTGCTGTAGTGAAGAAGGTGTCCTACAAACTCCGAGTCTTGCGCCACATCAGAGCAGACATCACCCGTGCACAGTCCCTCCTTTACTACACAGCTCTTATCCTACCTGACCTACTCTACGCCTCGAACGCCTACTTCGCCAGCCTCTCAGCAAGCCTCAAACAGACCCTCTTCAGACTGGATAAGCGCTGCATCCGCTGTATCACAACCCAGTCCTCGCGTGCCCACACTATGCAGCTGTATGCCCACCTCGGCATTTGTCCGGCTTTCGAGCGGGCGGATTGCAAGTTGCGGCTTCTCGTACACCGCATACTTCACGGCAATGTCAGTTTGCTGCTCAAATCACGCCTGGAATACAGTTCACTGCCCCGTGCCACCAGAGGTCAGGATGCCTGCAATCTGCCCCTTCCCAACATCCGCAGTACTTCTGGATCTCACAGACCAGTTTTTGCTGCTGCTAAGTTGTGGAATCGATTCAAGCGTTTATTGGAAGTTTACGTTCATGGCTAATGCTAGGATGTTCCCTATCCCGAGCCTCGGAGTTCTCCATACTCACTGTTTTCTTTACTCCACCTATCCAGGTTATCTTAGATTTTATCCGTTTGGGGATGATTGTCCTTGGATTTCCAATGCATTCATAAAACAAACACAGAATGGATGTGTTTCGGAATCTCACAGCCTAGCATTCCCCTCTAGTTGGCCTGACCTAGCACATCTCAACGCTCACGTCCATTGAAAGTCTACTTTCATGACCAATGTTGATGATCTAAGGAGATATTCCTATACTCACCGTTTTCTTCACTCCCTATAATCCAGGATAACTAATCTTGTTCTTAATCTTTTCTCCCTTTCCATCGTCATCATAACATTGGGCATGATTGCCCGTTTGACTTGCGATGTAAAATAAAAGCAATACCAATACAATACATCACGATCTTGCATTTGAAAGCCCTATTTGAATATTGTGGCCAGCTGTCTTTGTTGGTACGGAACGGGACAGGTACGGGATAGCGCCAGGCATGCCGATGGCACAAACAAACAAACACGGAATTACAGCTGTGTGGACCCTGGCTAGCGCCAGACGTTACTGAAGTAATGTCTTTGGCATAGCTACGGGAATAAAATCCAAATCTTCGGGCCAGGCCTATCTTCAGGAACACAACCTCAAGAACAAAGAGAGATTCATTGTCCTCCTATCATTGTTGGTATTATTACTCTTAGAAAAGGTATCCACATGAACTTCGAATTAACTTTAAACCTGTTAAAGAAGGATCTCGACCCTGCGAGGGATACCGCATCTTAACTCCACCAGTAATATTTCAAAACTCTGGAGTCGATCGCACCCTATACTTACGTTACATGTACGCATTCTGGCTGGGCGGACTGTGCCGAACACGCCTCGGCCCAGCTCTGTCCTCGGAATGTGAACGACGTTCCCTTGCGCTCCTTGCGCTTGGTCCCCGAATACAAATCCATGCGTCTGTACGGGGCCAAAATAATCAAGGGGAAATCGTTTGAGTTCGTCCTCCGGCCACGGCACCATTTTGAACTAAATTTCAAACTGAAAACGGGCACGAAAAATGATGAAGCGGTCAAAATTTAATTTGTCTGTCTGTACCTGAAAGTGAGCAGGAGAGACTAGATCAGTCGTTCAGCGAGGCAGCAACTTTCATCCACATCTCTTCTATGCGGTATTGCATTGTATTATGGCTACAAGAGTTTGACATAACATATCCTTTCGCGTACTACCAAGAGTATATAACTCTTGGTACTACCTGTTTGCCCTCTTGCGATATGCCCCAAGAATCACTATCAGAGTGATTATCGTGTATCGGGGGGGGGAGGGGGATCGTAGCAAGGATACGAAAATGTGATCAGCGTGCACAAAGCAATATGCGTTGCTTCCCCAGTACCAACGTAAATTGCACTGTAGCAGAACTTCTGTTAACGAAAAACAAGAATGTCAAATGGCACAGCTGTTGCCGAGGGACGTAGCTCGTGCACATCTACGTGGCGCTTGCCTTCCCCTCATTGGAACTTCCCCTCATGAGCCTTCCAAGTTGGAAGGTTGTTGGTTTGCGCTTCGTAGATGTGTTGGAGCCAGAGAGTGGTAAAATACCCGTATTCACCCTGGTTAACTTGGAGCTACTTGGTATATGTAAGTGTCAGGTCGTCGAATGTCTCAATATCCTTATCCGTGTTGTGCCTTGTTGTCGCGATGTCTGACTGTATTATTGTATCGTTACCTTGGTGATATTATTGTATCGTTACCTTGGTGAACTGTTGGTCATGACTAGTAACGTACAGGTCCTTTTCTCTTTGCATAATTACTATCGGCTCGACATTCGAGTTTTTATTAAGCACACCTGATGAGCCGTCACCAACTACAAGACGAAACGCACGTCGTGTGAAACCACTTGCTATTGCACCCAACGTGTCCATCATCGTTACGTCAATGTGGAGTTTACCAATACTGTTATATTGGCTTTCGTATTGTGACTGTTGGTCTTTGCTTGTCTTCCTCTCTTCACGTATTTGACATGCCGTTGAAGCTACCAAGTTCATGGGCGTAGGAACTGGTCCGAAATTTCCTCCAGAAAAACCTTTCATCTTTTCGAATCATGACATTCCTGACTCCTCCTCTGTTTTAATGGACGGCGTTCCTATTGCCTTTGGACGTTCTGCTAAGCATCTCGGCGTACAGCTCAGTGATGGTTTGAAGTTCCATGACCACTTCCACACCATCTCCAGGAAGTTTCAGCAACGAGTCAACCTGTTATGTTTCATGGGCCGACATTTACCATCGTCCCATATTCTCCTCTTGTATAAGTCTTATGCGCGTCCGGCAATAATTGAATATGCCATTCCTGTCTGTTCATTTAGGATCACATCCGCTCAGTTAGAGTCCCTTGATGTACTCCAGGCTACGGTTTGCCGGCGACTTCTGAAGTCTGTGAAAATAACCTTTGATATCCATGAATCAAAATCCAATTTGAACACATTGTGTTACTTAGAATCTCTGCAATTTCGCCGTGTCTTTATTTCTCTTGTTGTTTATTTAAGTACATAAATTTTCACCCAGAATATCTCTCCCGCTTTGCGATAACCATAATGTAGTGCCCGTAGGCCCAAAAAGCTCATTTTTAACTCGCATGGTCGTATTCTTCATCCCTTTTCCTACAGAAAACTGGTTCTCTTTGGAATTGTCTTCCACCCCGATTGACAACTTTAGATTCCCTATCTGAATTCAAGCGTCATTTACGTATTCACATTGCCAAGTATCAGTTCCACTGCACTGGTACACCTTTGATGTGCAATCATTAGTTTACATGCTTGTTCTTTTCTTTTCTGTCTTGCTTTCTTTCCTTGGGTTTCATATTATTTCGTGTTAAATCCAACATGTCGCACTCACTTTCTCTAGCATAATTAAAACTATGTTTCTAGTACATACCCCAATAGGAGATCCCCCAGATAGGCGTTAGCCTTTGAGTTATCCTTAAATAAAGATTATTACTATTAGTATTTGAAACTCGGATGTTGATCCATAAATAAATGTAGAAGACTTTCGGACCGTATATAGTATCATGTTACAGTGATGGAGAGTTACTCTTAACTCGTATCCATATGTCCTTTTCTCTTCTACAATTATGATTATTATTATTGGTACGAAGTAGTGGTTGCGACTTCGGCGATCAAGTAAAGTCGGCGGAATAGCGCGAGCTCCGGTGTGGGGAGCAAACCCTTTCCGTAATGTTGTGCCCAGCGCGGGCTTGCGACTAGTTGGTTTGGAGGTGACAGCGTTTCGAATGACCGAGGGTCCTCGACGTCTGTCTCACCGTCCAGGAGCGACACTGACTCACGCTGCTATCTGGTGTTCACGAGGTGTTTGTCGCGCTGGAAACGGAGCGTCTCTGTAAGTTTGTATCCCTGATGATGTTTGTGCCTGGAGAGCACTATATAAGTGGTGCTCTTCAGGCACAATCTTCCTCAGCCTACTCAAGCTCAACTGATGAGGGGTGAATTCCCCGAAACACTGTGTATTGAGCAGGGAGTGGTGCTTTCTTGCAGGTTTGCCGAGTCGAAGGTTCGATGGACTTCTCGTGTGCTCTGTATGGCAGTCGTGAGTCAGTCAAGTGTCAAGTAAAGTCAGCGGAATAGCGCGAGCTCCGGTGTGGGGAGCAAACCCTTTCTTATTATTATTATTATTGATTATTACATAATTATGCTCTAATCAGTACAAGGCGCACGTCGTGGTTCCAAGTCTCCATTATAATTATCTCCTTTTCTTAAATCAATCATTTTCATGTTCGGCTGCGTGCATGTTAGTCACCAGCATATTCATCTTCGTGGCGCCAATGAAGCAGACGCAGCGGATGTAGATGCAGCGGGTGAAGATGCGGCGGAAGCAGATGCGGCAGCGATTGGATTATTCTTCCTGTGGAGATTGGCTTGATAGGCGATTGCCACCCACGAGGCCCTGTTCCTGCAAACGGGAGAGAGGGAAAGGAACAAACTCAGACCATACGATTACTGGCGCAGCATATCATAACTGTATAACTGCAAATATTATGTCTTTGAAAAAGAATGCGCCACATACCTAGCCTGGAATAATCGCAACTACTAAAAACAATTGACGGCTCGCGTGAGACTCGGTTTGTCTATATAGATGCCGAGTTTTCCGCATCCATAGGAACAGTTACACCATCACCCTTCAAGGATCAAGGCGCAGATGCAGCTCCTAAAGCGGTGGGAGGTGAGTAGATCAGCCCACCAGCATTTGGTCAAAGACCAAAAATCCCATTCACTGCATCCATGTTTGCCTCGTACCAGGCCATGAGTTCCCAATTAACTGTGGGTCGCAGCACGGCTGGAAAAACATCCTTCCGCTCCCAAGCAGGACTTGAACCTGGTACCCTCTGTTTCTCAATCATGGTCTTAGACCATCCCACTAAGCCTGCCTGTCTATGCTGCCTATGCCTGCAAGTACTTACGATGTGTGAAAATATGTGGTGTGAAGTATCCGAGATCATGCGCGCTTTTCGGTGAGATCGACATTACGGATCCTTAGCTAAAGCGTCAATTGCCTATGTAGTTGTAGTTGATGTGGTAACTTGAAACTATAGCACCGGTTTACATAGCGGAGTAAAATATGATATAGAAAATCAGTAGGCTGCTCTAGTGCTGCTGCATCGCGCAATGCCCGCTACTTTTTGTAGTTTGAGCACTCTGGCGCTAGAGCGACGAGCTACCTTAATGTCTGTGGTGCCTCCTTTGCACCATGGCTGGTTGCTCGGCCTATTTAGCTCGTAGCTGTACTGATGAGGCCTTTATGGCTCCTCGGCTTTCGCCTTGTTGAGCACTCTCAGTAGGCTGCTCTAGTGCTGCTGCATCGCGCAATGCCCGCTACTTTTTGTAGTTTGAGCACTCTGGCGCTAGAGCGACGAACTACCTTAATGTCTGTGGTGCCTCCTTTGCACCATGGCTGGTAGCTCGGCCTGTTTACCTCGTAGCTGTACTGATGAGGCCTTTATGGCCGAAACAGCTTGCTGTCTACAGCATTGGATATAGACAATCGTATAAAGGTTCGGATGCTTTGTGCAATTTCCGCCAGACAGCAACTGAATGTCTCCAGTTGACGTGGACAATCGCTAGTTTCATTATCCCAAGATGCACCCCACATACAAACACTTGTGTGCGAATTAAGGCTACAAAGTACAAACTAAATCAGTACCACAGATCTTACCATGCAACATGTTAAGGTGTTTGAGGTTTCTAAAGGGTGAGTGAATCCAGAATCGATTTAATCGACATGTTTGTAGCATTAAGATTAAACCTTTGTTTCCAGGCAGCCACAGTGGGTTGGTCAAAGACCATGATTGAGATACGAGAGGTACCTGGTTCAAGTCCTGCCTGGGAGTGGTTTTTCCAGCCTTGCTGCTACGCACAGTCAACTGGGAACTTGTGGCCAGGCACAAAGGGTACATGGATGCAGCTAATGGGGTCGTTCTCAGCACTTGTGTCAGTGGTTGTGAGACTTATCCACTCACCCCCACCGTTAGGCGCTGCATCCGCCGCTAGTGTTTACCGTGTGTTAGCGCCCGTCGTGAGTTCCCTTCGGGAACGGACACGATAATTTTCTTATTTTCCTTTTTTTCTCGCAGGTTTCTAGTGTACCGACTGATCAACATAGACTATCCTAAATGGAGTTGTCATTGTGTGCAGATTGTAAAGTTTCATTTTCTTTTTATTTAATTTTTGTTTGTTTTGTTTTTGTGAAAAGAAAATCGATTTTGGTAAACCTTTATGACTTTGTTGTAGTGTGGCGATGACAGCAGAATTTGTTCTCTTTATAGCTATTATAAAATTGTTTTCTCCGCGTCGATTATTTGTTTTGTTTTGCTTTTTCTTTAGTCGTTGCGTCAGGCCAGTGAAATCATGATCTTTGCTTGCCCGTATAAGAGGCGTAACCCTCATTCCAGGTTGTGGGGTCCAAACGGACCATATGGGTATGATTTTTGAAATATGTTTACTCTGCTGCATCACATCTCCCTGAAACTTCATGTATTCCTCAACTACACAATAACCGAGATAAATAAATAGTCTGGGTTAGAGGTTCATGATGGATTTCCTAGGTTCATGAT